GCCTTTACCCATGGGTTGCAAGTACTTCCTGACTGCAGAGGGGATTTGTTGGAGGGATGAGATAAAGCCCTTGTCAAAGTAGTAGAACCTCATTTCTACTCATTTCTCATGAGTAGAAGCTTATTTCATTGCTAACATTCGTAAATGGATTCCCCAGATGACCACACGGAAATCCTTGGCTCTCTTCTGTGGAAAAGAAAATTTGGAAATTTTATAATAATCTGTATTCCACTCTAGGACTCATGATCCCAGAGAAAACAGTCTCTTGCACTCAACATCACTATATAAAACTCCAAAAAAGGGATTCTGTCTCCAGCTCATGACTCCTCCCAAGTCACAGTAAGGTCCTCAATTAACTGCAATGAGAGCCACATGTAACGTTCCAATTAGAAGACTAGCCCCCTACCCTACGCGCCACTTACTGCTTTATAAAAGAAAACATTGTGCTAAAATAAACGTGACTGGGTACACGATAGTGTTACAGCTACTTTGTGAATTTGGGGGGAAACTTAATTATGTTCCCACTGATTAAAAAAAGTCAAACACTGTTTTCATGAAGAGACATCAATGTCCCCCCAAAGGCTTGCTATTTGATGTTTCTGGAAGATTTTGAATAGGGATTGGGGGGAGGGAAGAATAGCAATTATTCTTCTTCTGCTTCACTTCACAGCCAGGATGTTTCTCTCTCAGGATGTCTCCTGAATGAGACAAGGTACTGTGCAGATTCACCAGGCTACAGATAAAGGAGAAATAATCAAACCAAAGGAAGAAGAAGACAATAGCTGAGGGCAGAAATGAAGCATGGAGAGAAGTCACTGCCATGGATTCAAGATCTTTGTAAAACACTCCAGGAAAATGTGGTATCCGGCTTTCCCTGGCTCTTGTACAGATCTAAGCTGCCATCAAGACCCCTGACAACTATGGCTGAAATAAAAAATGTATAGGGAAGTATAAGAGATACTTTAAGGCTGCTTTTACTGGGCCTGTGAATTCAGCAAAGCTTGGCACCGCCCCCACTTCCTTCCATTTTTCCATCTATGATCTTTGACCTGAGCCATTCCCTGTGGTGATCACTTTACAACTAACTACCTCGAGCTCTAGGAAAGACGCAATTCACTGATAAGCATCTTGTGACAAGAGGTGACTGCCACACACTTGCATGGCTTCTTCTTATCATCTTGAAGAGAATAGCCAAATGGTACAGACCTCCTGCCAGGCTGAATCTGTGACTTGAAACTGGTCAACTATGCATAACTTTGTGTGTGTGTGTGTGTGTGTGTGTGTGTGTGTGTGTGTGTATACTGGGCTTTAACTCAGGGCATGGATGCTGTCCCTTACCTTCTACTTCAAGGATGGCATTCTGCTACATCAGCTACAGCTCTGCTTCTGTCTTTTTTTGGTGGTTTTTGGAGATTAGAATCTTTGGGCTGCCTCTGAATAAAGATCCTCAGGTCTCAGCCTCAAGAGTAGTTTAGGATTCCAGGTGAGAGCCATAGCCCAGCTATGTATACCTTTCTTTTATCCCCTGCCCCTCAATTCTCCCTATTTAGTCTAAGTTGTCTACACCTTTGAAGATGGCTGGCAATGTAAAGAAGTGCCGTCTTACCATGGCTGGGCAATAAATCTCCTTTCTCTGCCCTTCACCAGGTCTCTTTACTTGACATAAGGGGATGAGCAGCCAGACCTAATCAAGTGGAGAGGCTGGCTCTAGCCAGTGCCATCTTGGCCACATGGTGGATAGCGAATGGGATTTAACTGACAGATATGAAAAGTAACTCATGAGTCCATCTGCAGTCACCAGCTTTCCAATAAAGACACTCAAGTTCTCTGGCTTCTCTGTTTCTCACAACTTTGTTACTTTTCATACCTTACAACACGAACATGGGACTCCTGAGGTTTGGGCCTGCAATCGAAAAACCCAGTTTCAAAAGGGTATCTTCTGACACAGTGGTGCAAGAATATTCCTGGTCTTTTACTCTAGGAAGCATGGATCTGACCAGAACAAAGAGAATGAGAAGCTGTATGTCTGTTCAAGACCTTTTCTCCAGAAGTCATTCAAAACCCACACAGGAGGCAAAAACTGCAGCTTGATCATTGCGTGTGTGTGTGTGTGTGTGTGTGTGTGTGTGTGTGTGTGTGTGTGTGTGTGTGTGTGTGATTGCTTAGGGCAAACTGGGGCCTCATGAATTATAAGTATATACTCTGCCAACTGAGCTACACCTGCAGCCCTCACTGTGACATTCAATGCAATGTTTTTAGTAGCTAGTGATTTTGGGCAAATTCTCATGTACTTATTTGCCATGTTATTTAAAAATATCAGATTGTCTTCCTAATTGTAAGTGTTGTGTATGCTCATGAAACAATCCTTTATTAGATATATTTTCTCCCTATTTTCTTCTTTATGATGTTTACCATTCACTCCCTTTTTTTCCATTCCCTCCCCTAAGAAATTTTTTCCTAACTTGAGGTTACAAAAGCCTTTTTATCTGTATTTTCTTCAAGAGTTTTAGTTTCAGTTTTTATATGTAGGCCCCAAAGAATTTTGCATATTGCATGAGTTAAAGGTTAAGATTCGCTTTCTAGGGGATCTTGTTTTAGGAAACATTTAAACTCCTTTTAAAGACTCAAAGTGGGGACCAGACACCACAAATGGTTAGGGCTATACATTACAAATGGTTTAGAATCAGATAAAACTCTCCTTTGGACAAGGGTCAAACATACTGCCTATGTACAAAACTACAGACCAATTTTAAATCAGCTAGATCATTCAAAAAGTTTCAAGGCTTGCCTGAGATTTAAAGTGGTTCTGAATAGACAGTATAACCTGGTGTCTGGTAAATAGCCAATGAAAATATGCCCTATAAAAAGGCATTTTCATTTTAATCCCAAATTATTCCTATGACTGGTTCTCAAATACAATCAAACAGCTAGGTGCTGTGGCATATGCCTATAGAACTAGTACTATTCACAAAACATGTCATCTTGTCTACCTGATGACTAGAAATGAATGCCTTAAGATTATTACTCCTCCACTGTACACAGTCATGGCTTAGTGTAAGCAGAAAAAGATAGTGTGCTATGGTCGTGGAGTTTGTTGGAAATCTGCCCTCTGGAACTTGTCAGAACTCACTCTAGGGTGTAAGAGAAAATCATTCACTGAGAAGCAGCGCAAGGGAATCACTCTACTGCAAAACTGCCAAGAACAAACAGAAACAGCAGCCAGGGAAAGCATCCTTAATGTCTTGAGAAGCTGGCTGCTTAGCAGGCCAGAAAAAAAGCCTTTCCTCCCAGTGTGTTCCCTTGGTAAGTCATAGCATGCTATTCTTGCAATGAGGAAGAAAAGAGACTAGGGAAATGGAAAGATACAAACAGGGAGTTGGCCACACTAGGGAAAGCAAGCTTTGTCTGGAGAAAGTAGGTTGTACTTTTCCTTAAACATTTATTCTAAGGGAATGTAGGAGTATCATTCCTTGGTTTTTCAATTTTCCAACATAAGTCAATAGTTTTGTGTTTTGATTTTTTTGTTTTGTTTTGTTTTGCCAGTCCTGGAGCTTGAACTCAGAGCCTGGGCCCTGTCCCCAAGCTTCTTTTGTTCAAGGCTAGCACTATATCACTTGAGCCACAGCACCACTTCTGATTTTTTTCTGTTTATGTGGTACTAAGGAGTTGAACCCAGGGCTTCATGCATGCTAGGCAAGCACTCTACCACTAAGCCACATTCCCAGCCCTTTGTTTTTTAGGTATGAAACCAAGCTGGGCATCGGTGGCTAATCAGTGGCTCACACCTGTAATCCTAGCAACTCAGGATGTTGAGATATGAGGATCAAGGTTCAAAGCCAGGTCAGGAAGAAAGTCAGTGACACTCTTATCCCCAATTAATCACCAAAAAGCTCAAAGTGGAGCTGTAGCTCAAGTGGTAGAGTGCTAACCTTGAGCAAAAACAATCTCAGGACCAGTGCCCAGGCCCTAAGTTTGAGCCCCAGGACCAACACACACACACACACACACACACACACACACACACACACACACACACACACACACACATTACCACTAACAACAACAACACAAATGTACCAAGTATGAAATCAGCATTTACATGCTGAAAATGTCTCAAATACATAACAACAGACAAGTCTGCTAACGTTAGTAGCTGTATCTTCAGAGAGACCCTGCCCCCAGAGAAGTGCACATATGTAGCCTAAAACATATTTCAGGAGACACAGAGGTGTCTGTTAGAACATTCTGCTCTGGGGGGAATGGTTTATGTTTGTGCTATTCAGTATGATAGTCATTACCCACAAATGTTACTGAGCACGTGAAATGTGACAGGTACAACTATAAGAATTGAATTTCCAATTTTATGTGATTTTTAACTACATTTAAATTTCAGTAACAGCAGACCTTGGGTTACAGCTCCTCATATCTGCTTTCTCAAAGCTTTGCTTTTGAGGCAGCTCTTTACTTAGTAAAGAACTAACAGCTTTGGCTGCCTCAGAGCTCCCAAATTAGAAGGAAGGCTCAAAGTCTTAACAAATAAAGCTTCTGTGGTGCTCGTTATGAAAGAAAATAAGCAGGAAGCAAACTGAATTCAACAAGCAAATTCTGGAAATACCGAGTTGTACAAGTAATGAATGTAAGTCGTTAGATGTGTTGGAGGAAGAAACAGAGAAGGGATTAAATGCATTCTCTGACTGGCCCATATACCCTCAGCTGTCTGTGAAAGGAAAGTTATGTGAAGATTGAGGAGAGTCTGAAATAAAATGATGGGCCGCTGCCCATCCTGACAGGAAAAATTACAAGTTTTAAGGGTGGTGTCCAAGTATTGCAAGAAATATTTAATTTCAGTGGAACAATTCGCTCAGACTCGGGACTAGGAATCGAAACACGCAGTTTATCCGGTTAGGCTTTGTGGATCTCACAAGGATGTGCTAAATAATGTGTTACATTTTTTTAACCCAAAATAGAATGCAACAAACATATTCAAATTCAGTTTTTAAATGGTGTTCAAAAGTATCGTGTCCTCATGTAAGAAACGTGTACGTGTGGTCTTCTTTGGAAAAAGAGGTCTTTACAGATATGATAACATTAAGGATATTGAGATGGAAAGATTATTATCCCAGATTGTCCTAAAAGTAACCATACTGTAGCCTTATCAAAACGGATGCAGATTTGGAAGATATCAGCCTTGAAGACTGAAGTGGTGCGGGCACCAACCAGAGACTTGCATCCTTCTCTTTCCCACTTCTTCCCTACCCTCTCCTCCGCTTTGTCCCCAGCCTCCCGGTCGAGTGCTGGAGAAAGCTCCTCGCGTCTCCATGGCAACTGCTTCAGCATCTCGCCCCGCCCCAGGATGCAGCTTGAAATCTGGCTTCCCGGGCATCTGGCTGGGAGCACTGGGCCTGGCCTCCAGCCAGAACCACGAGATCTCACCCGGCCTTTCCCAGCCCCGGAGGTGTCGCCGCGAGGCGCGGGAGTCCCAGGGAGGGAAGGTACACTGGGGACCTTCATGCCCGCCTTCTCCAAGTGAGTTCCTTTCTGCAAAGATCCCTGGTTCCCAGGCTCTGGGGAGCCTTAGGGCTCCTTCTAGACCATCGCAGGGGGTGCGCATACTGGTTCCTCCATCTCTGGTTTTGAACCCAGAGCAGTGGTGGACACACACAGATTCTTTCCCTGGTGCCAAGTGGCCGTGTGTCGGGTAGCCACTCTCTTGTCCCTTCCAGAAGTCTACTTTTGCCTTACAACCACCACCACCACCACCCCCATCCCTACCCCAGGTTCCTGAAAGCTTCAGAATGAAGATTCCAACCCTTCCCACCCCTCCCCATCTGTTGTGGCCAGGGCTCACCTCCATGCGCCTTTGCAGATCTCTCCCTTCTCTGCCTCTGGGACAGAGGTCACTTCTAGGCCCTGTTGACCACACGGCGTGGTAGAGGAAGAAGTCAGACCCCAGCTCTGCCCTCATAGCTTTGATGTGAGATTCCTCACCTACAGACGGCCTGCTGATCAATAATAACTCCTATGGTTTCTGTGAGAATTTAAATATGGTATTTAAAACATATATTATTTAAAACAACAAATGTTGAAAAATCCACACAGAAGTACTTCTGTTCTGAGACTATTTCCCTGCGATTTTTGCAGGAGACACGATAAAGAAATTGGCTCTTTGAGTCTGCTCAAGCCTTTTCACAGGCTTCTCATTTCTGTCCTCTAGGAACCCTTTGCAATCCTAGATGATCTCTCTCTTTTTTTTTTTCCTAGATGATCTCTTCTGGTAGTATTTCCTCAGCCTCTAGGTAACTGGTTTCCAAATAAGTTGGGAATCACTCACAAATGTGAGGCTAATGAGTTTAGTTCTTTGGTTCTTTCTTTGAAAGCATGGCTGATATTAAGGTTAGTGATGATACTTTCCATAAGGTCTTATGTTTCTAAATCTTAGTTGTGTGATTCTGAGAAGTGTTTTGTCCTTTGTCATGTTTCTGCTTGTTCTTATAACCATACTTAAGGAGAGCTGCCCCTCCTTGAGGATTAAGGTCTTGCAGCTCTGAGCCATTACCACTCAAAAATGTCTGTGAAATGGAGTGTCATCAACCCACCTTCCACAAACTCCAGAAGAGCCTGATGAGGTTATTGCAGTAAAGATGGAGGAGGAAGAGCAGGGTTCTAGTCTCCACTGAAATAGCTGCTACAGCCCAGACACTTTCCGTCAGCATTTCAGGCATTTTCACTATCAGAATTCCCCTGGGCCCCGGGAGGCTCTGAGTCAGCTCGGAGAACTTTGTTGTTGTTGCTGGCTGAGGCCAGAGTTGTACTCCAAGGAGCACATCCTGGAGCTGCAGGTGCTGGAGCAGTTCCTGGCCATCCTGCCCGAGGAGCTGCAGATCTGGGTACAGAAGCACCATCCTGAGAATGGAGAGGAAGTTGTGATTCTGCTGGAGCAAGTGGAGAGAGAGGCTCATGGGCTAGCTGGGCAGGTAAGAAGGACACATGCAGATGAATAGGCACAATGGGTCCAGAACACAAGCATGTCATGGAAAGGAGAAGCTATTAAATTATATTCCTACTCAACACTCCTGAAATGTAGGCGGCTGAATGTACTCAAGGGGGTCCCAGTAAATAGACGTAGCAGCTCTACCTTTTCCCTCCCTTTTCCTGGGTGGAGGACATATCCTGCATTTGTTCTCTGTTATTCTATCCTTGAAGCTCTACCCAATTCCTTTCTTCAGCTTGAGTTAAATCTAACTATTCCCAGGTCTTTTTTTGGACTAAGAAAGGCCGCAGCTGTGGATGAGCTGGTACCTTGGGAAATCACTCCGAAATTACCAAGTAGCCAGCGGAAGCCCTTGAAGCAGCCGCAGCGGCCATCGTGGGAGCTGCCCCCCTTAAGACAGCATGGTGAGGGGCAGGGCTCTGTTCATGGTGGGAGGCGAAGGGCAGGGAACGGGGCACAGCCCACTACACTTATAGGCTGCTTTATTCAAAGGCGTCAAATCTCCCCTCGTGTCTCTTTGCTATGGCACCTTCCACTGTTATTTGACCAACTAAATCAAGTAGCTGAACCTTGCTCTCGGGTATTGTGTGGAGTCATTAAATCTCCAGATTTTGAATCTTTGATGTCAGCTCCATTGGGGTTTTAAAACATTTTAAAGCCCTTTTCACAAATGAGTTTGTATGTGGTGTTCCAATGCAGGAAACAGGTAAAAACATGGTTACTCTGCCTAACGCAACAGGCAGGCAGTCCTAGCCCATAGGTCCCTCCAGGTCAGCATCGCTCCTATCTCTTTTCACTGTAGGCAGCCTCAGAAGTCCTTCTGTGGGGCTGCCTCTTTGTTCCTTGGGCAGCTGCTCCTTTACATGGAGATATAGGAGCAAAATTGTTCCTCCTGTGCTAAGATGACTTTGCTGTCATGTTGTTTTGGATACATTGTTTCTTGGCATCTAACCTGGCTCCCATTGCTTTTTGCATCAGTTGTAAAAGTGATCCAATGAACTTCAGAAATTGTGGGGGAAAAAACTGACCCAAAGTAGCTAGTATATGAATCTTTTGGGGATTGGACTGTGGTTTAGTTGGTAGAGTGCTAGCCAGTGTACAAAAGCATCAGGTACCAAGTTTGAGTCCTGGTCTCAGATCTAAAAGAAAAAAAGAATCTTTTCTTTCATTGAAGGTATTTAAAAAAGAAGTGTAATGGACCAGATGCCTTTGGCTCATGCCTGGAATCCTAGCTACTCAAGAAGCTGAAATCTGAGGATCGCAGTTCAAAGCTAGCCAGGCAGGAAAGTCCGTGAGACTCTTATCTCCAATTAAACACTAGAAAACCAGAAGTGGCACTGTGGCTTAAGTGGTAGAGCACTTGCCTTGAGCTGAAGAGCTCTCAGGCCTAGAATTCAAGCCCCACGACAACCACCACCACCACCAACAACAACAAAAGTGTAATGGATGGACACGGTGGCTCATGCTTGTAATCTTAGCTACTCTGGAGGCTGACATCAGAATGATTTCAATTGAAGACAAAAAGCTCATGAAATCTCTAATCTCAACCAGTAAGAAAACTAGGCATGGTGTACAAATCTGTCATCCCAGCTATGTGGGAAACATAAGCAAACAAATCACAACTCAGGTTGGCAGTGCATAAAAATGGGACCCTATTCAAACATTTAGGAAAGTTAAAAGGGGGGCAAGGGTATGGCTCAAGCAGTAGAGCACCAACCCTAGCAAACAAAGGCACTGAGTTCAAACTCCAGATTACCAAGTAGATAAACAGGTGGGTAGGATAGATAGATAGATAGAGAGAGAGAGAGAGAGAGAGAGAGAGAGAGAGAGAGAGAGAGAGAGAGAGAATGACCATTGTGGGGGGGAGCAGAGTAAGGGACATGGATGAGTAGTAGTGTTTTATTAGAAGATATGTACAGCCAGGCATTGGTGTAATCCTACTTACTCAAGAGGCTGAGATCAGAGGATCCAGGTTTGAAGCCAGCCCAGGCGGGAAAGTCTGTAAGACTCTTATCTTCAATTAAGCACCAAAACTAAAATAAAAAGTCAGAACTGAGCTGTGTGGCTGAAACGGTAGAGTGTTAGCCTTGAGCAAAAATCTCAGGGACAGCATTCAGGCTCTGAGTTCAAGCCTCAGGATTGACACTAAAAAAGAAAAAGAAAAAAAGATGTATAGAAACTTGAAATAGAAAACAGAGTATTAGGATTCTGCAGTACAATGTAGACAGAGCCAAAATCCCATTATGGGCTAACAGAATCGTCTCTTAAGCCCACAACAGATTCTGTGGTACTGAGTCATGTCTTATCAAGGCTTCTACAGATAACTTTAGTCACAGAGCTATGAAATGCTGTTGCAGGATTTGGATAATGATGATGATGAAGCATTAAGGTCACTTTGGAATATGAGCTGTCAAAAAATGAATTTTGCAAAAAAAGATATAATTAATATCATTTCTAAAATAATTTTATCTACACCAGCAATAAACCTGTAATAAATGAGTATGCTATATTTATGACCAAATGTACGAAATGACTTAAATTCACTGTATAATAGCTATATTTAGGCCCACACTATTGAATTTTAATGTTGATTTAACTTAGAATTCTTTTGGCCAGTATCACAGGTTTTTTTTTTAACATTATGCTTTTGACTAGGCCTTGAGAGGACCCTCCAAATCCCTGGCCATCATTTCCTTTCCATATCCCTTCTATCCATTTATATTATTTAAGATACAGGAACCCCCAGCAGTCATGGTCAAACTCAGACAATTCATGTCCCTGGCCATGTGAATTTGCTGTGGTTTGCTTTTGCAGATGTATTTGCAGATGTATTAGCCACTTCTTCTTCTTCTACTTTCTTCTTCTTCTTCTTCTTCTTCTTCTTCTTCTTCTTCTTCTTCTTCTTCTTCTTCTTCTTCTTCTTCTTCTTCTTCTTCTT